GCTCATATATATGTTACATAGAGTTAATTATAACCTAGAACACTGCAGTTAATGGAAACAAAATTATTGATCCATGTAGTATAAAAAGAAACTATATAGTTCCTTAACCGAGATTAATTATCCTTAATTTAGTTTTTTTTTTAAATGTCATCTTTTGTTATCAAAATTTTCCATTTTATCTACTTGTATATTCTCTTTTTTTTCCTTAAAAATAAAAACATAAAATAGAAAAAAAATTAATTATAAACATAATTAAAAGATAAAGAACAAATATATAGCTTTTAAAATCACGAGGACTAATTAATTAACTTTTATGAATTATAATAACTAAGTTATAATTAACTCTAGCACCTGTGTCTATATTTCTATATTAGTTGAAGCTTTTAGAATTAATTATTTTGTTTTGTGATTTTATGTTATTTAATTATATATTAATTTGAGAAAACTATTGCGAGTCCCTATTCTAAAAATTAAGGCATCACAAAAGAAACCTTAAGGACTATTATGTTACATGGATTAAACTTTAACTACAATAAGTTGAAGGAGTTGAAAATGAATTATCCATAGGAAAAGAGAAGGAAAAAAAATCAACGAGTTTGATTTTTTTTTTCAAAGAGCGTTCTTCTAATAAATTAGTAATTGTCGAGAATGTTGATTTTACTAAAAACTTCATAAAATTGTAGTATATTTTTTGACATTTTAATAAAAATCACACTTTCAACAACACTTACAATTTTTACTAAAGAAAAAAAACTTTTATTTGGAGAATATTACTCTTCTTTTATAGTAATATAACTTCATGTAAGATACTTTTTATACATTAACATTGGAAATCAAACAACAAGACCAAAACAAAAAACCCGGGAGATTAGACCTATGCATGCAATTGGTATCTCAAGAGCACCCAAATCACTATCTAGGCATCACTCGAATAAATTGTCTGGTCGCTTTCAAAAGAATCATGTTGAGAAGGTATTGCATCCACCAGTTTTAGATCTTACTAGTCATTTACCTGCAAGCACACTTCGGATTCAGTAGAAAAAAATCATTTTAAAATTTTAAAAATTTTTAATTGTGATTTTTTATTTAATTAATTATTTAATATTTTTTCATAAATTTTTTGTTTTAAAAAAAATAAATCATTCTTCTTTATGGATTGATTTTAAAATACAAAATGTAATAACATTAACTAAAAAATTAATCAAGAATTAAGAAATAATTTTCATAATATTGTATTCTAAAAAATAAAATTATAATTAACGGACAGAATTTCATAAAAATTAACACAAAAAAAGAATATAAATTGGTGGAAAAAAGCAAAGGAAAAAATGAAAGAAAAAAAAAGGAATGCGTAGTGTATCAAATAGGGGATTAAAATTTTTATTTTAAAATTTTAGAGACCAAAATAAAACAACCTGAAAATTTTAAAAATTAAATGAAAAAAGAACCTAGATTGATGGAAAAAAGCAAAGGGAAAAGAAAAGAAAAGAAAAGAAAACGCATGTATAGTGAAACAACTTGAAATCAATTTTTTTAATGTTTCTTTATAATTATTCTATCTAAAAAACATAAATTATTCATCTATATGGATTGTTTTCAAAATAAAAAAATGTAATAATTTTAACTAAAATATTAATCAAGAATTAAAAAAACTTAAAAATATAATTTTCATAATATTGTATTTCAAAAAATAAAGTTATAATTAATGGACATACTTTTACAAAAATCAACAAATGAAAAAAAAAAAAAAGAACATAAATTGATGAAAAAAGTAAAGAAAAAAAAGACATGTGTAGTGTATCGGCTAAGGGAATAAAATTTTTATTTTAAAATTTTAGAAAACAAAATGAAATAACCTAAAAAAAAAAAAGAACATAGGTTGATGAAAAAAACCAAAGGAAAAGAAAAAGCATATATAGTGAAACAACTTTTTTTTTTTTTTAAAAAAAACAACCTTTGCTATAGGAATGAATATTGATTTGTAAGCCAAGGAAAAAAATATTTATTATAGCGAAAAAAATCAAATATAATAAAATTTTAATAGTCAAAATAAAAAAAATTATAAAATAGGGACTAAAATAAAATAAAATAAAAGCCAAAAGAGAAGCTTAGCTACGGCAAGAGAAAAAAAAAGAAACAACTTAAAAAAATAATAAAAATCAAGAAAAATATATATTATAGGGATAAAAATTAAATATAATAAAATTTTAATGATCAGAATAAAAAAATTATAAAATAATAACTAAAATAAAAATAAAAGCTAAGAGAGAGGCCTAACCATGACAACAGGAAAAAAAAAAAAAAAAGCTACAGAAATGAGTAGTATTATGTGAGGGGATGAAAAGTAATTGACACTGTTCAACCCCCCTGCCCCCTCTAGTTTATAACAATAATTATTGCATCATTGGCCCTAAAGTTTGAGGGAATTGAAAGCATTGCTAATTTTCTACTTTCCAAACTCCAATGACAACGTTCATTCTTTATTTATTTTTATGGTTAATTATTTATGAGTATGTAGTGGAAATTAGATTTTGACATCGTTTTATGATTCTATATAACACTTACGTATTTATTTTTACATTCAAAATAAAAACTTTTTAGGTAATTATTAGTAATTTGGCCAAATTATTAAGCTTTTATTATCTAGAAATCAAATCTAAATATTCGATCAAGAAAAAAGATAAGATAACTTACATTTGAATGGGAAACATATATATGCGACAGCTAGTGTTAATTCAGAAATTTTGTGCGAACTAAAGTACTTTTATTTAATTTTCTTTGATACTATATTTTTATTTTAGAAAACATTATATTTCTAATTAATCTAGTTTATTTCCAAGCTCACACCAGTAAGTTTAATATTTTTTTTTATAAATAGAGAAGTGCTATAATTGTATTTTTCCAAGTTTACACCATTAGTTTTTTTTTTTCTCAAGGTCTATATATGCTTTGTAATTTTTTTTTGTTACAACTATATAACTTATCTTTCTTGGAAATTACAAAAGAAAAAATATTTTTGTAAGTTATTCTTTTCTTTACTGATTTATGCTTTATCATAATTATTTACTTTTTATTTATAGCTTTATTTATTGTTTTTATTAGAACCTCTTCTTCACTCAATTTTTACCAATTCTTGCTCTATATATCTCTTAGGTGTTGTTTGATAATCAAGAATAAAGTGATGAGAATGAGAATGCATGAATCAAAATAGCATTTGTATTTTCATATTGTGTTTGAAAAACTAATGAGGAATCGAAATGCAATTTAAATTTTTTAATATCCGATTTTTTATACAAATAAAAATAATGATTAAAAATTAATTTTATCAAACTATAATGATTGTAAAATAATAAAAGTGATGGTGGTGGTTATGACGAGTAGTGGTGATAGTGGTGGTGGTAGCGACAATAGTGGTTGTGCTAGTGGTGGTTACGGTGATAGTAATGGTGGTTGTGATAGTGATGGTGGTGATGGTGGTGGTGGTGGTGATGGTAGTGGTGGCGGTTGTGATGGTTGCAATGGTGATGGTGGTTGGTTATGATGATGATGGTGGTGGTAAAAGTAGTTAATGGATAATAAATAAATAAAATATATTATTATTTTGAAGAAAAAAATCATTCACATTTCTTATTTTTATTCTCACATCTTATATAGGAATGAAGTTATGTGTAAATTTTTATTCTCATTCACACTCTTTATTCCGAATCTCATTTCATTCCTTTTAACCAAATAGCTATTATGTGAAAATAAAACTTTCATTCTCATTTTCACCATTCTATTACCGATTACCAAATAATACTTTAATTTATCTTGGATCTCTTATAACGAATCTATTTTGGTTCGATTATTACAAAATCAATGAATATATAAAAAGTTTAAATTGTACATATTGGTTCAAGCAAGTATTCCAGACCATTAACAAACGGATTTATGAATAAATAAATGTTTGTAGCGATATTTTTTTTTTTAAAGGAGCTGAATGGGTAGGTTAAAAAGATAGTGAACAAATCTTTGATCAAACTTGCTTGCTACATGCTAGCTAGGACCTTAACAATTAGGGGTTTCAGTGAATAACTCTTGGGCCTTGTTATGCATGGTCAAATGTTTTTTTATTATCCAATTTTGGTAATTTGTGCTTGATCTTGGTTGATTGCCAAAAGTTGTAATTTTATTTTCATTTTTTTTTATATAATCAACCAAGTAAAATTGGCCAAAATTTTCAAAAGTTTGTAGCTAATTCAAGTGAGTTGAGAAATTAGAAAGACTCTTTTTTTTATTTATGTTGTAGTACATGAATTGCTGTTATAATTAGCAATTAATTAGTATTTTCTCTGTTGAAAACAGATTGTTTCATTGATCTTCCACACAAATTAAAAAAATTATTATATATATATATATGGATAATTATTTATAAAATAAATTTTAATTAAAAATATTTTGATAATTTTTACATTATTTAAAATTTTGAAAATTTTGAAATACGTATAAATAAAAATTATTCCATCTTTGGGTGGCATGGAAGTATCATAAAACATTATTTGATTTGGACATCTGATGCATATGGTGACACAGAATATCAAAGACTGTATAAAATAAATAATAAGGTGATAACCTATTAACAAGTAAACATCAATTTATAGCTTAAGTTTAGAATTCAATATTTATGATCAGTATTCTTAAAACATTTATTTTTAAAATATTTGAGGTCGTTCATCGAAAGTATCTTTTACTTATATTGAGGGAGAGATTTGTCTCGAAATGCATAAATGCAGATAAGAGGCAACGGTCACTGTTGACAAAAATAATAAAAAAGAATGCGACAATGTCCTTTCGTCCCGATATCAGTCTGCGACTTATATTACAGCGTACATCCCAAGTTTGTCGGGAGAGTCATGCATGGTGTGCTATCTTCTATAAAATGCCTTCGTTTTCCTTTTCATTTTGTAGTTCATAGTCACGCCCCGTGTAGCTATCATCAACAGCCAACTAAGCAAACAACAATGGCCCTATCAGATCAGAGTCTTTTTCACTACGGTCTCCTTACTTTCTACCTCCTAGGACCCTCCAACATCATAGCCCTAAGGTTCTTTCAATTTCCATATGGAAAGTACAACCGTCTAGGATTGGGCCCTACAGTCTCTCCACCTTTGGCTTGGTTTCTCATGGAAATCCCCAGCATTTCACTCCCTTTCCTCCTCTTTCCCTTCGGCCAACACTTCACAAATCCCAAAGCTTTCGTTCTCATGTCCCCTTTCCTCCTCCACTACTTCCACCGCACTTTGATCTACCCGCTTCGCCTTTACCAGAGTACCACTCAACAGAAAAGCAAAACCACTATCGGTTTCCCACTGATTATGGCCATGAATGGATCTATGGTTCAACTATTGAATACCTACTTGCAGGCTAGGTGGGTTTCTCATTATAAAAGTGATTACGATAGCGAGGGAGGTTTGTTTTGGTGGAAGTTTTTTGGTGGGTTGGCGCTTTTTCTGTGGGGCATGAGGATTAATTTGTGGGCTGACAAGGTTTTGTTGGGTTTGAAGAGGGAAAGTGGCGGATATAAGGTGCCAAGAGGAGGGTGGTTTGAGTTGGTAAGTTGTGCTAATTACTTTGGAGAGATTGCGGAGTGGCTTGGCTGGGCAGTGATGACTTGGTCGTGGGCTGGGTTTGCTTTTTTCTGCTATACCTGCTCTAACTTGGTGCCTAGGGCATGTGCCAATCACAAATGGTATCTGGAGAAGTTTGGAGAGGATTTTCCCAAGAGCAGAAAAGCTGTGATCCCTTTTTTCATTTAATTACTGGTAGAATTGGATACAACTAAAAATTTGAAGAAGGAGATGTTATCAGCTGTTATGTTAGTTTAATTGGTTTAGTATTTTGAACTTTTAGTCAAATGAATAAAAAGATCCTCTAGTTTTAATTTTTATGATTTGAATCTTTTTTTTTTTTCTTCTCTCAGCAATCAAATCTTGATTTTTCACCTTCTCCTCCACCACCCCCGTTGCCTATCCCTCTGGCAATTCCAAAATTCCAAAACCCATTTGAAGTTACATAAGAAGAAAGTCAATTCGGTTACATAAAGACACAATCTTATATCCATTCATTCAAAATTCGAGCACTCTAAAAGAAACCCATTTCAATAACATTATATATATATATATAATCACATTAACAACTAAAAAAAAGACTTGAATTTGAAGTAAGAGCTAGCGTCTCTGCATATAAGCTGAGAGAGAGAGAACTAGTATCTATCAGTAAACAAAGGTCTCCCATTAGGACCCACATTAAGTGATGGGTTTTTCTCATCTTCAGCAAGACGACGAGCAAAAAACACTCTTTCATCAGTAGTCTCATCTTTAGAATAAATTTTTTTCTTGGTTATAAGCTTGTCTTACATAGATTTGTTTGTTCTGCTTGGTATTAGGAAGCACTCTTACATAGATTTTTTTCTTGGTTTAGAACAAATTATTATTATTATTATTATTATTTTGAAGTGTTGGAGAAAGATTAAACAATGGTTCCGAGCATTTAATTTCATGTGCCTTTCACTTGTGCTCAGCGAGAAAATAGGACTTGATTGCAGACAAAAAAAAAAAAAAAAAAAGCCTTTCACGTGTGCTCAGCGAGAAAATAGGACTTGATTGCAGCCAAAAAAAAAAAAAAAAAAAAAAAAAAAAAAAAAAAAAACTACAGATTGGAGACTCTTTTCGTTTGACTAAAAGTTTAGGGTATTATAGAATTAACCAACCATAATTTAAATATATACTATTTTTGTTTTAAAGAGATTGTCTTATTTGATTTTTTTTTTAACAGATTAGAGAGGTTATTTAATTATTATATTATATATAGCATTTTTGTTCCTATTTTTTAAAATATCATTTTTTTAGAATTTTATTTAGAAATTTTTTTGTAGAATAAATTTTAATTAGAAGTATTTTTATAAAAGCACATCGCTTTATCGTTTGATGAGACAAATATTTTGAGACATATATATAGAGAAATAATTTTAAAAAATTATATTTATTAATTTTTTTAGTTATAATTAAAATTTGTGATCAATACTTAAAAATATTTTCATATAAAATAACACTTATTTAATGTCTATAATCAATATTATTTATTTTTATTAAAATATTTGATTTTTATTTTTTATCACAATTAAATAATAAATAAAATAAAATAAATGTATTTAAATAATTGTTAGCATATGCCAAAAGGCACTTCGTTAGCTTTCGCTATAAAATAAAAGGTTAATTACTCAATCTATCATAATGCAATAGGATAACTTTTTAATCTATTCTTATAATTCTGATCGAGTCAATTTTGTTTTTGAATATATATTAAATTTTTAATCTATCATTTTAATAAAATTTAAATTAAATCATCAAAATTAGTCACGTAATTTATACATGATTATTTTCTATTTATAAAATATCTTTGCAAACCAAGCAAATAAAAGGTTTTAACGTACAAATCATGTGTGGTTTAACCGAAAATCTTGCTAAAAAAATAGATTAGAAACTTAGGATTAATAGCACCATATTATATAATAGTCAAAGTTTCTAATTTATCCTATTTTCTAAAACAATTTTATTATTTTACTATTATTTTAACAAGTTTTTAATCTATTCTTTCTATAAATTTTCTGACAATATTATCAGAAATTGACCATCTGAGTTGTACTTTTTTTTACGAAAATGCCCCTCAGGTTTTTTTTTTTTCGGGACAACACATGTAATCTCCTATATATGAGGAGCTTTTAGTTAATTAACTCTTACAAAACATAAAGACACCTTGGGGAATCCTTGACCCAACCTTAACAGATCCGAACACAACGTTACTCATCACAACGGCCACCTTGAAAAAACACAAGGGAAAATCTCCAAATAATCTCCGTTAACCCAAAATATTAGAGAAACGAAAAAACTTGCATCAAATCATCAACAATGGCATCCTCTTTTGATTCATTCAACCCTGAAGGAGATCTAAATGACCCCACAATGCAGCATGTCCAACATGATCATGTACCACCTACCTCCCTCCCTTTTGATGATGATGGCTACATAGGTGATGACACATCATCATTCCCTGGAGAAACACCACTGCCACAAGAAAGTTTCTCCAATGACAACAACATGCATTCTTCTGAGGGGTATGGGTTTGGCATGCCTTCTCCAAGTACTGAATTTGCCTCACCTTTTGAGTCTGAGGTGCTTGAGACTAATGGTGGTGGGGGTGGAGGTGATGGTGTTTTTGCTTCTGATGGGCCAATTCTGCCTGAACCAGATGAAATGCAGGAGTTAGGAGTCAAGTTCCGTGAGTGGCGCAGGTGAGCTTGGTTTTGTTTGTGAAATTTGGTTATATTTGTTGTCTTGACTGGATCTTGATATGAGTATTATTGCACATTTAGAATTTACAATGGGGTTATGATTTAATGATTGGATCTTGATTGGTGGAATTTGGAAGAAAACGTTTGGCATAATTTTGATGGGCATTTGATGTTTGAGGATTAAGGTGATTTGATTATGTATGATGAAATCTTGGATTACCAGTTTGGCCATTTTAGCAAATAGCTCTTGTCGTTATGATGGAAGCTGAAAAGTATTGCTATGATGGTAATGTAGAAGGATAACCATCAAGTTTATGACATTGGGATTATCTCGTTCGAGGTTTTGTTTATTGGTATAAATAAACTAACATTAGAATTGGTCTTTGGAGAGCATGAAAGGGAAAGCTGATGTTGATTGGAGCCTAAACCTTCTGTTTTTGGAAGAAGCAAGGCATTCATTTTAAAATCTTGGTCTTGAGACATTGTCAATTTATTGAATCGCAGTTCTTTTATGGAATTGAATGGGGTTTGAACTATTAAATTAACTTCTTTTTTGGCTGAAGAATGATTGATATAGAAAGCTGTCACTTGAAGGCTTTTTGAATGTCTTCTAATACAACAGGGAGAGTTCTTCTTTCCATCAATTCTTTTATTGTTCCCTGATTTTATAGTAATTGACTCCATATTCTTGATATATCCTATGAGCCTCCATATAATTTGGATCCGTTTCCTATAGTAGTGCCCATATTATCAAAGAAGAAGGTGCATTCTTTATAATACAGTGAGGTTGATTGCTCAGCCTATGAGTTTGCCAGAATTGCACCAAATAGGTTTGCATGATTCAAAATGATTTCTTGCTTGCATTAGCTATTAAGAGATTAATTCTGAAATAGAAGATTGAAGTTCGCAAGGAGAGATTAGTAGTAAAACTAAATATCTCTGTGCTAATGCTTGATATTTTTGAATCGTGAGTTCAATTAAGTACATCTTTGTGGTTATCAAGTTTGGAAGTTGAGGTTTGTCAAATCAAAGCTGAGAGTGATTCTAACAAATTTTAATTAAGGTTGGAGGTTTAAAGGTTAATTTCGAAAAACAATTAACTTGTGATTACTTTTAAAATAATACGAAAATTGGTTGATATGAAACAAGGGAGTACCATAACCTCTTTGATTTTTACATGGCTAATTCAAAATCTTAACGTCTAAAAGGGCTGTTATGGGTTCATCACAATGTCGAAATCCACTAGACTAATGTCTTCGGTTTAATTTCCTCTTGATCATCTTTACTCTATTTCACTAATGGCGTTTCTGACATCTTTGAGATTTTTTTCAGCAATCTTTTATGGTCCGTTCTGAAGAAAATGAACTTAGAACAGACTGTAATTTGCTGCATCAGACTAGCTTTCTTTGATATGGTGAATAATCAGTGCAGAGTTAAATGGTTTTTGTTTTGCCTGATCACATACATATATAAAGTGGAAGGTCAAAATCTTCTTATGTGTAGAGGATGAGCAAGGCACCAAATCTGTTGATGGAAAAAAGTTTTACATCTTCGGTATGCTGATAAAGAGTTCACATACATCTTTTGCAGGCAAAATGCCCTCCATCTAGAGGAAAAGGAGAAAAGAGAGAAAGAGATGAGAAACCAGATCTTCGATGAAGCTGAAGAGTATATACGAGCTTTTTACGAGAAAAGGCAGCAGAATTGTGAAACTAACAAAGCTCAGAACAGAGAAAGAGAGAAGGTAAAATTTCTGATGAGCCACTTTTCCAATGCATCCTCCCTGTTTCTTTCAAAGCACATTTGCGCACTCAAGTTTCCTGCATTCCTTTCAGCTTTACTACGAAGTTAAAAAACGAATGTGTTTTTTTTGCAGCTGTACTTGGCCAACCAAGAGAAGTTCCATAAAGAGGCCGACAAGCATTACTGGAAAGCTATTGCAGAGTTAATTCCTCGAGAGGTGCCAAATATTGAAAAGAGGAGGAGTAAGAAAGATGACGAAAAGAAACCCTCCATTACGGTAATTCATGGACCAAAGCCTGGAAAACCCACTGATCTTTCGAGGATGAGGCAACTTTTTGTGAAGCTGAAACAGAAACCTCCACCTCACATGATGCCTCCCCTCCCTCTCCTGCCAAAGATGGAAAGGATGGGAAGGATGCAAAGGATGGGAAGAATGCCAAGGATGGGAAAGATGCCAAGGATGGAAAGGGTGAAAATGGAGGGAAAGATGCCAAGAATGGGAAAACTCCGACACCGACTGCTGCTACTGCGGCTGCAACTGCCGATGAAAACAAGCCTGCTTCACCTCCTAAAGACATTGCGAGAAGTAGTTCACTTGACTCCTCGAAATTAGATGTTCTTACTGCCGCTGCTGCTGAAGGTGAGGAAGCTGCTGCTGCCGCTGATGGTGAGCAAGCTGCTGAAACTGAACCAGCCACTGCCTAGTTATGGCACCCTATAATTCTTACTATAAGTTCCCTTTCGCCTTTTAAGGTCTCAGCTTAACCATTCTTTATGCAGAATGCAAATAAGTGCAGCTCTCTGCAGATTTTATCGAGCTTGCGGCATGAACTGCGGAGAGCTTTCTTCCTAACTATAGGATGTTCTAGTTTTTATATCCAAAAAATAAAAAATAAAAAAAATTCAGTTAATTCCAATTTTTGTCCAGATTCATTATTTATCTGAATCTTTTCTTCTGCTTTGCTTCTGATTGTTATATATATATATATATATTTATGGATGTGCCCTTTAAGCATATTTATATGTTCTATACCTGTGCTACAAAGGAAGCCATGTGTAATGAAAATCAGGCATCCTAAAATTGTGTCCAAAGTTCCCGATGTGAGGGTTGCTTCTTAAAATCACTGGAGAAGAGGCTTAGTTTTGATTAATGCACATCCTTACCTACGGATACTTCTTGTCATTGAATTAAAAAAAAAAAACAAAAAAATACTTCCATCATTTTGATGCTGGTGGCTTAATCCGTTTCATGAATTTTTTCTTTTTAGATAAATAGCTTAATTTGTCTTTATATAATACTTTGAGTCCTTTATTTGTTCTTGAAAATTTTTAAAATATCTAATCTGTTCTTTTAATCAATTTTTTACATCACGAACAAATTTATTGATTGAAAAGACCTTTATTGAAATAATAATAATAATATTCAAAATCACATAACTTGTATGTTTTATTTTTGAAGTCTTTAGATTTTTTTTTCAATCATAGACATTTTGGTCAAATAAATTTTTATGGTTGAAAAATTTAGTTGAAAAACAAATTAAATATTTTAAAAAATTTTAAAAACAAATTAGATGCAATTAGAAATTAGAGACGCATGAAAGTCTTTTGATATTATGAAAAGATAAATTAAGTTTTCTTTTTTAAGTTGCTTTGAACTTCAAAGGAGTAAGTTTTGATAAACAAATTAATTAATCATTCTTGTTTCAAAAATTAAACATTTGGTTTTCATGTTTTTAAATTCACTTGTAATTTAGTCCTTTTTACTCTTTCTTAATTTATTTTGATTTTTTAAAAATAAAAAAAAAGTAAAAATATGAAAAGATTGATGAGAAAAATAGGCATTTTATGAAAAAAAAAAAAAGAAGTTAAATTGAGCATGGTCAACACTGATTAAAAAATTAAATAATATTTATTTTTAAAAAATAATTAACTGATTTATTGAAATCAGAGGGACTAATTTATAATTTACTCAACTTCAAAGTCGTAATCCCAAAAATTTGGTTTGTTTATGGGCCAAACATGAAAGCCCATGGACCAATGTAAGATTAAAATGGGCCACGAATACAGTTTACAAAGTTTGGTCCAGGAATGAAATGGAAAAAAGGGGGAAGAAATGGACTTTTGCATTTTTTAGGTGCTCCCCTTCTCAACGTAGCAAAAGATTGTAAACTCATACGCTACCTTCTATAGGCAAAATTATATTAATAAAAAATAAGGTTAAAAATATTATTAAAAAAAAAACTAAAATAAAACGTGATTTTAGTATTTATTTTTACTATTTAAAATATTATTCACTTATTTATAAATCATTATTCTTTTCACTATTTATGTCATATTTTTAGTATTTTAGTCCTCAATTTTTCTATATATATATTTTTTAATTTTTAATTTTTAATTATATTGTGATTTGGTCTCATTTTGTTTTAGTGTTTTTCTAATTATTTTTATTATTTAAAATTTACTATTTTGGTTTGTCATTTTTTAATATAGTCACATGTTATTAATATTATAATCATATTATAATAATATTATTTTTCTACACTAAGTATTTACTATTTATTTATTTATTTTTGAATTAAATAATTAAAATAATTTTTTGGCTTAACCGTTCAATGATTCAAATTAATATAGTTTTTATTTTAATATTATTCATTCTTTTATAAATAAATATATAAAAATTAAATTCATATTTTTTTCAAAAATCAATATTCTCATCAACATTAAATAAAGAAAATTATTTGTTCAATTCTATGTAAGATTTTAATAATTGTTATTTATGTTTTTCGATACAATCCTATGAAATACTAAAACGTTTTTTTAAAATTTTATTGAATTTTCTTTTTAGTTAATAATATGTGGATTAATAAGGATAAATTCTTTTTCTAAAAGAAAAATTATGAAAAACACAAATAAGAAATAGTTAAATACAAAACTTTATATTAAAAAATTATTAATAATTTTTTTAATTTTAATTTTATAAAATTTTTAAATGATTTTATATATTAATAATTTTATATATTTAAAAATTATTAATAATTTTTTTTTACTTTTACTTTTATATATTTTATATTTTTAAAAAAATTATTAATAATTTTTTTACTTTTAATTTTATGTATTTCATATATTTTTTTAAAATTATTAATAATTTTATATATTTTATTGGCTCTAACCTAACCGTATCTTCTGTAGACAAAACTATCAAAAGTTGACAAAAACCTAGTATGAACAGAACCATTCCAACTTCTTCTATTTTCTTTCCCGTGATTTCTTCCCTCACGAAAGAAAGCTCACCCTCAGGGGAACGCCCAGCCAGGCCGGCTTGCATCTAAGAGAGAATCTATCTTCTTGTTCAATACGCCCAGTAAGTTTGGATTTGAAAAGGGTCATTTGAGCTTCGCCCCACTGATAGACTACTTAAGATTCAATTCAAAAGGCCCTGCTTAGTTTCTTCGGGCATGCTCCCTCGGATCGTCTCTTCCTTTCTTTTCTTGTTCTTCACTTTCATCATTAGAGTGAATCCGTTTATGAGAATTTAATGCTTAATTCGGGTAGAAAAAGGGGTCAAAAAAAAAAAAAACAAAAAGGGGGGGCCATCTTGACCCATTATCCTAAAGGGGCCATAAGCTCATGAGTTGTCGTTTTGGTCATCATTTTCGGCAAAAACCAGAGTAGCTGACCAGAAAGAAGAGTAAAAACAAACACGGAGAGAGCTTGTCGTTGAGAGAGAGATCGATGGTGGCAAAGAAAGGAACAAGCTGTTTGATGGCTCGTTTGTCTTCCTTATCCAGAGGTTCAGCAGCCTTTTTTACTATTATGGGTACGATTCCATCTCCAACAACTTTATTGCTACTCAATTTTAGCAGAAACAACTCCAATTCCGTTTCCTATTGTTCTTGTTCTAGCAGCTCTGGCTGTAAAGATAAACTCAAAAACGAGGGTTCATTTAGAAGCATGGATGACGCAGTGGCTTTCTTCAATCGCATGATTCATATGCATCCTCGGCCTTGCATTGTCGAATTCAATAACTTATTCTCAGCTCTTGTCAGAATGAGACATTATCAGACTGTGCTTTCTTTCTCCAAACAAATTGATTTGCTGCAAATCAAGGGGGATTTGTGTTCTTTTAACATCTTCATTAATTGCTTCTGCCAATTGCAACGTGTCGATTTTGGCTTCTCCGTCTTTGCCAAAATCATTAAACTTGGTTTTCAACGCAATACCATAACCTGTAACACCTTAATTAATGGGCTTTGTATGGAGGGTAAAGTTGCTCGAGCTGTTGAATTCTTTGATGGCATGGTGGCCAGAGGTTATCAGCCTAATATACGTACTTATAATACGATTATAAAAGGTTTGTGTAAAATTGGGGAAACCACTGTGGCTACTGAGGTGCTCAAGAAAATGAAAGAGGCCGGTTGTGAGCCTGGTGTGATTGCATACAATACAATCATAGACAGCCTTTGCAAGGATAGGCTGGTGAATGACGCTTTGGATATCTTCTCTGAAATGAAGGGTAAGGGCATTCATCCTGATGTTGTCACGTACAACTCTTTAATGCAGGGCTTATGCAATTTCAGCAGGTGGAAGGAGGCTTCAGCATTGCTAAATGAAATGACAAGTTTGAATATCATGCCTGATCTTGTTACCTTCAACACGTTGATTGATACAACTTGTAAAGAAGGCAAGGTTTCAGATGCTCATGGTATTTTAAAAACAATGACTGAAATGCGTGTGGAGCCTAACGTCGTTACTTATAATTCATTGATGGATGGATACTTCTTAAGGAGGGAAGTTGTTGAAGCTAGAAAAGTATTTGATGCAATGATAAGCAAGGGTTGTATACCTGATGATTTTAGTTATAGCATCTTAATCAATGGATATTGTAAGGCCAAAAGGATAGATGAGGCAAAGCAATTTTTTGATGAAATGACTCATCAAGGCCTCATTCCCGACACTGTTAGTTACAACACTCTTCTCGGTGGGTTGTGCCAAGCTGGGAGACTTAGGGAAGCACAACAAATTTTCAAGAATATGCGTTGTCATGGACACCTCCCAAATTTGATAACTTACACAAGTTTGCTTCATGGCTTTTGCAAACAAGGGTTTCTTGATCAGGCATTGATACTCTTTAGAGCCATGCAAAATACTTACTTGAAGCCCGATTTGGGGATGTATGATATCTTGATTAATGCCATGTGCAACTATGGAAAGCTTAAAGAAGCAAGGGAACTGTTTTCAGAACTCTCTGTCAAAGGTTTGCAGCCTAATGTCCGGCTATATACTACAATAATAAATGGACTTTGCAAAGAAGGATTGCTAGATGAAGCATACAAAATTTTCCGAAATATGGAAGAGGTTGGCTGCCCTCCAAATGAATGGTCTTATAATGCTATCATCCGAGGATTTCTCCGGCACAAGAATGATTCAGGGGCAGTGCAACTTATTCATGAAATGAGACACAAACGTTTTGTTGCAGATGCGAGCACCACAGCCTTGGTGGTTGATCTGATATCTAATCAAGGCAATCTTGTCCTAAAGGAGCATCTAGGCTTATGTAAAGTTCGTCAAGGTGAAAAGGTAATGTAAGTTTTCATGTTGCTAATTCGTTTGGCAAATATAAAGTAGCTTCTTTTAACCACATAAGTTATTGCTATTTCGATCTTGTCAAAATGGGGACAATGGCACTATTCACTTGCGTTTGTTTC